AAAAAAAAAAAAAAAAAAATTTTGTTTATTAAAAAATACCCTTTTTTGACTCCATGGAGGCTTTTGTTTTTTTTTTTTTTTTTTTTTTTTTTTTTTTTTTAAGTTTTAGAATCCAAATTGGGAAAAATCAAGTCACAAAGACAACGTGTATAACGGGACGTCTAGTAGTGGAGAGGGAACCCCCTCTGTCCCAGCGGTTTTATACCAAGGTAAGAAGCCGACGCCCCCACCACTCCACCAGCACACTGGAGTAACCCTGCAGCACGGCCTTATTTAGTGAAGGGTGGCAAAAAATAGACTCCAAAGGGCCGTTGGCTGGGATGGGAAAAGTTAGATGAGCAGGGTGGGAAAAACTGGGAGGTGACAAAGGGGAGGTGTTAAGGCATGTTAGGTAAGTATGATGGCATCTAATTACTGAGACTGGCAAGGCAAAAATTTTTGGGTCTGTTTTCTTGATTTTTCTAAGCTTGACGTTTTATCCACATTACTGAAAAACAAAGAAGCAGGGGAAAAATGCATCAGGCCTATGCTGCCAAGAAAGTGCTTTAAATTTTAATAAGTTCACTAAATTAGTCAATTTCTCTTTTACATTTTGATCTAACGCTGATAAACGCATCAGGAAGAAGCCGTGAAACATGTGGAGACAGATGGAAAGGAAGACTGAGAAAGAGAAAGGGGTGAGGGTGTCTAAGAATTGAGAGGAGAGGAGGAGGAAGGGAAGAGAGATGGGGAAAGAAAGGATATTGATTTCCACCTTAAAGAGGCAATCTCCGCTTCTCAGGAGCTCCAGGGACGACGCATGTATCTGCACTGTGTGTGTGTGCGTGTGTGTGTGTGTGAGAGAGAGAGATATGTGTTGAGATCAGTCTCAAGACACGAGAGCGCACATCAGAAACACAGATACAAACACACACCGTGGTGGCATGTTAATGATGTTCAAAGAAGTACAAACTAGAAAGTAACACCTTTAAACTTTTTCTTTCTGTACTTTGGATTTTTCAAAAGCATCCGATTCATCCCTTAATCCCACCACTTTTTCACATCTTTGTAATTCTTGTTCCACAAAGACACGCTTTTACTGTAAAAACAGAGCTACGTTAAAATAACGAAGCTCTGCAACATGATACATGCGCAAAGGCACATTTTTACAACCTTTGAAGTCCACATTATTCCAAGATGCATCGCATATCTGGGAAATTGTTCTTCTTGTAACAATTGCAGACGAAGCCAGGGTATATTTAAGTACATTAAAAAATGATTCATTCAGGAACTAAAATGTGACTACATAAACAGCACAAAAGTTTAGCTAGATTTAAAGTTTCTTTTTAGCAGCTTGTGTTTGGTGCTGTCATGGTTGCCTGGCGACGGGACAGATGCTGAGCTAAGGATGGGAATCAATCTGAAGGTTAGACCGTCAGACTTCAAAGCCGTTCATTTCGGATCTTCGCAGTCGATGAAGGACGTTTCGTGTGTCGAACAGCTCAGTTGGGCCGTTTGAAGAAAGCAGCCCTTGAGTTTGGACACCAATAGAATGTGTCATACATGCTCAAAAACAATAAATGTATCAATTTTTCCTCCATTGGAGCTTTCCTTGTCATTTTTGGTGTAAAGTGTTTCCAAACTGAAGTGAAACTGGATTATATATTTAAGTTCTGAATGCACAACTGCATTGAGTGAACTGTTTGTCTGTTCTCTGTTTGATTTATGCTTCACTGTGTGTGTGTGTGTGTGTGTGTGTGTGTGTGTGTGTGTGTGTGT